GAGCCCGTCGGCGGTTCGCTCCCGCCCGCAGGAGGCGCTGTGCGGGCGGGAGGCGCGTGGGCCGGTGACCGGGCCGCCACGCTGCTTGCCTTGAAATGGCCGTTGCAGGAGCTGCCCCGGCGGTGGGCTCACCTGCCGGGCTCTTCCATGCGTTGCTCTCGCCGTAGGACCGCACTGCTTGCTCGCAGCGTCAGCCTGAGCGAGCTCGGCGGCAGGGCGCTCCGTGGCGCAGGCGTGCGCGCCCGATCCTCTGCGCTCAGCAAGCGGAGCAGTGAAGCGGCCTTGGCCTTGCACGTTTTGCCAGAAGGCCAGCGTGTCTTGGAGGGAGACCAGAGAATCTTCCGGGCGGCTTTATTCCTGCTCTTTCCAGCTTCGTCCCACAGCCTGCCCCCTGGGATGCCCCTTTACTTCCTGATGGTTAGGACCCCGAGGTTACGGAACGGGCTTCCACAGGAGGGGATGGGGTTGAAACCCCATTGCTGGGAGTGCTCAAGGACAGGCTGGACATGCACATGGTGGGCATGTCATGAGGGGAGCCAGCTGGAGCAGGGGGTCAGACTAGATGGCCCGGGGATCCCTTCTGACTTGCACTGTTTCTATGTTACTGCCCCAAGGTCTCTTTCCTGACCTGGGAGAGCAGATGAGGTGGTTCTTCCAGCCCCAGCAGTGGAGGGGGGGAGCGGGGGACAGAGCTCTACTTTCGTGGTTGTGCTGCTATCTCTGACCCCAATCTGGGAATCCAGAACAACGGGAGGACCCTCAAGTGCTACTGGGGGTTTCAGTGCTGGCTCCCTACATGCCTGTCACTGAATACACAATCCTGATAAAGAATGGAAGAAAAAACTATACTGGAAATGACATTAAAAACCCCAGTTCCTCCTGTGGCTTCATTATTTCCAGCCATTTGCATCTCTGACCTTCCGTAGAAGTCTTCTCCTTGCACGGAAGTCCTGAGAGAGGACAGGCTCAATGACAGTGGATAAGCACCTTGTCCAAAATTCTATAAGTATTTCATAATCCAGAGGTGTTCAGTTTTTGAGAAAAAAGGCACATCTGTTTGACTTTCCTGGCATTCCCATGTCCTGTGGACTCTGTGACTTGCCGATCCAGCCTGCGGGATTGTTCCCAGCTGCCCGGCTTTCTGCATCGTGTTCCACAAACCTGCGAAGGAGCCGGTGCGCGGTACGGCCTCGGAGGCAGGAAGCAGGGGCCACGGCCCCTTGCTCCCAGCAGCCTGTCGCTTCCCCGCCAGTGGGCTGCTGAGTGTGGGTGGGGTCAGTGTCCGGACTGAGCGTACTCTCTTCCCACACACCAATCCAGTCCTCTTTTATTCCTGCAGTTTTCTTTTTCAGCAGTCTAATGTTTAAGGGGATGCTGCTGTTGCTAAACAGTTGAGAGTAGAAATCCTTCCAGATCTCTGTGTATCACCTGTAAAACCGTTTGTTGTTGTGTGCTGTCATCTTGGACTTGTGGCACTGCTGTGAATGAACGCAATTCCAGATGTCCTGGAATCTAAATGACTCTTTTGCCTCCGCGTTCTCCCCAAAGCAGGACGGGGAGATCCGCATGGGGGATCAGATGAGGCCGGGGACTTAGGGGCACAGATTAGAGTCACCCCCCTTGAAGTCGAGGGGCTCCTCAGGGCATTGGACTTGCAAAGGCGCCAGGCCCTGACGGGTTACAGGGGTTCTCTCACGCCCGCTGGCCTCCATTTTTGAGGCCTCGTGGAGAACGGGTGAGGTTCCAGAGGACGGGAGGGTGCCATCAGTGGTCCCAATTTTCAAAAAGGGTACTAGAAGGGACACGGGGAATTACAGACCGGTTAGCCTTATGTCCATTGTAGGAAAAACAATGGAAAGGCCCATATTAGAGAGAGATCTAGCGATGCTAGATAGGGAAGGGAGGCTGGCGGCCACACAACACGGCTTCCGCAAAAACAGGTCCTGCCAGACAAACCTTGTGGGATTCTATGACAAGGTTTCGCGATGGCTAGATGGAGGGGATGCAGTGGATGTGGTATACCTGGATTTCAGCAGGGCCTTTGACAAAGTCGCAATGTCTGTTTTCTTAATGTTCAGGTGCAGTCCTACGTTAGCAGTTTCTTCTTTCACGTCTAGCAGGAGTCATTTCAATTCATTGCTATTCTTGCCGGGAAAACGGCATCCTCTGCATATCGCAAATCGCTGGTGTGTCTGTTGCCAGTTTTCTCTCCTTCCTCTGATCCTAATCCAGTTCATTATGGTGTGTTCTGCATAGAGATTGAACAGATAGAGTGATAACATACGCCGTTGTCTGATGACTTTGCTTCTGGGAAACTCTTCCGAACAGTGTCCACGATTCAGGTAATGGAATCCTAGAGTGGTGGAGTTGGAGGGGGCCGGGGAACCATCGGGTCCGTCCCACTCAGCACAGGACTCCGTCAAACCTTCCCTCCCGGTGGCTGTCCAGCCGCCTCTCGAGGGCCACAGTGAGGCCAGGACGTTCTCGCTGAGGTGCAGCTGGACGCCGGTCGTGCCTCGTGGCGAGCGGCTGCCAAGGCACCCCAGCTTCTTTCAGAGCCACGCATCGCTTCTCATGCGCCACACAGCCAAAGTGCTGCTGTATTCTGTAAAGCATGGACTGGCCTTCCGAAATTCTTTGGTGTGCTCCAGGAGCCAGTGCATGTTGGCAGCATGATCTCCAGTGCGCCTTCCTTTTCGGATTCCGGCTGGAACATCCGGAATTTCTTGCTCCGTGCAGGGCAACGTCCTTTGGCACAACTCCGTGAGCATCATGTTGCTTCACGGGAAATCACCGCGCCGATTCGATCATTGCTGCACCCTTTGCTTCCCTTTCTTGGGGACGGGAGAGCGCGAGCATCTCCAGTCTGAGGGCCACGGTTTGGCTTTGCACATTTTTTCAAATATTTAGACCAAGGCTGTCCTGCAGCTTGGAACAGTCCTGCTGGTGTCCCATCTGGGCATGTTCCTCCTTCCCAGTGCTTCCAGTGCAGCGTTCACTTTGCCTTCCAGTATCGCAGGCTCCTACTCCCAGGATTCCTCTTCAAAGGAGTCTGCCATAGTCTTCTCTCCTCTGTGCAGTTTTTCTGTATAGTCCTTCCACCTTCTGTTATTTTCTTCCTGAGCAGATAATACATTCCCTTGTTTGGCTTTTAGGATGATTTATCTAAATTTGAATTTCCCTTTGATTTCTCGGATCTGCTGGAAGAGGTCTCCTGATTGTCCTCTTTTGTGGTCCACTTGTATTCCTTTGCACCGGCCAGTGTAATAGTTCTTTTTGTCTTTGCATGGTAACGGCTGAGAAGTGGCATTCAGGGTCCTGGCCCTATTTCTTCCGCCTTTTGTTTCTCACCTGCCCTTCTCAGTTGAGAGTGTTTCTTCTGTCATCAGTTCAGGTCTTTTTTTACCTTCTTGCTACAGGAACTGTCTGTTCATGTTCTTTCCTGTTTTGGGATGCATTAATACGAGCATCACGTCAAAAGCAGCTGAAGTACTTGTCCCCTCCACTCAGCACTGGGTAGCGCCATCTTGAATGTTATGCCCAGTTCTGGGCACCAGTTTGAGAGGGACACAGATGGGCCGGGGGTTCAGAGGAGGGCAGCAAGGGTGGCCCGGGGGCTGGAAGCACCCACCCGTTCACTGTCTTTGCTTAACCCCCTTTCTCTCCCACTAGGCCCTTCAGCCGGGGAGAAGCCAGAAGGCGGCCCGCAGCAGCGAGAGCTGCAGCAGCGGAGGCAGGAGCTCTTTCCCCAGCTGTTGCAGACACCGCATACGCCCCCCCCCCCCGGATCATGGCCCTGGATTCTTTGAAGGAGCTGCAGAGCCTTGACTGTGTGGTGAGTTACCAGCTGGACGTGTGCTCCCAGCTGGACTCCATCAGCTTCCAGACCGTTCTGATGAGGGATGTTTTCTCACGCCACCCAGAGGTGGTGCTGATTCACCGCACGCACAACCCGTGGGGCAAAGCGCTCTACATGTTCATGGTGGACAAGCCTTTCCTGGAGCTCGAGGGGGAGATGAGCAAAGTGGTACACTTCTCAGTCCCGGCCAAGGAAACGGCGGAAGGCCTGGCTCACATGTACCGCACCTTCAAGGCCTTCAACCCGGAATGGAAGCAGATCAAGACCTTCCTGGTGGATCCGCGCTTCCGGCTGGTGCCCACGCTGTCCGAGGCCTTTCCCTCCGCCGACGTGCAGCTGTCCGTCTTCCACATCTGCAAGCACCTGCAGCAGAAGGTGCACCAGGCCTCGCTGGAGTTCCACACGGAGAGGCTGGTCCTGAGTGTGCTGCGGAACGCCATGTGTGCCCCCAGCACGAGCAACCTGCGGCGCATGCACCGTGTGCTGAGCCACTTCGTCAGGCCCGGCCTGCTGCCCCCGCCGCACAGGGACTGGCTGGCCAACGACAGGATCTGGGCCATGCACCGCCGGCGGAGCTGGGGGGAGTGCGGCCGCTACTTCAGGGGCCTGGAGGTGGTCACGCGCGGCTTGAGCCAGGTCTTCTGCGGGGGCCCCTCCCTGGGGAGCTGCGTCACCAGCATCGCCAGGAACTACCAGAGGAGCGTCCGGAGGCGCTCCGCAGAGGCCGCGCCGGGCCCGGCCACCCCGCTTGGCCGGGACGCCTCGTCCCTCCACGACGCGCTGCAGAGGCCTCTCCTTCCACGGGAGCCTCCCCCGGCAGCCCAGCCGGCCGCCCCGAAGCCGACAGCAGAGGCGGCCGCTGAAGAGGCGGGCTGCGAGTGGCCGGCGGCGGTCACGGCCGGAGAGGCGGAGCGGCTCATCAGGCAGTCGCTGAGCGACATCTGCACGCAGCCGGCGGCCAGGCTGTGCTTGAACGAGCTGGAGGTGGTCCGGAGTTCCGAGCCCCTGATGGGAGCCCACGGGGACACCGTCCACGTCCAGCTCCTGGAGGAGGCCCACATGGTGCCCCAGAAGGGGCTCGACAGCTGCTCCTGCCACTTCAGCCGGGCATTCCAGCTGCCCTGCAGGCACATTCTGGCGGTGCTGAACGCCGAAGGGAAGGAGCTGGAGGCACAGAGGATTCCCACGCCGTGGCGCAAGGGCCACGGCGACCCCCAGCCCGGGCAGGCCGGCGCCGACGGCCCCCTGGAGGTCCTGCGCAGCTCGTGGGACGGGCTGCTCGACAAGTACCTGGCCGTGTCCTTCCTGACCGCGGAGATCAGCCGGCTGCTGAGCCAGTGCAGCCTGGAGGAGTTCGACCGCAGGTACAGCACCCTTCGGGAGCTGGCCGACAGCTGGATCGGGCCCTACGTGCAGGTGAAGTTGTGAGCGCGTCCCGGCTTCCCTCTCTCCCAGGAGGCTCAGCCGCTGCCCGGTGGCAGCATCCTTTCCGGGTTCTCCGCGAGCGTGCTGAGAACATGCCGTTCCACGTCTGCCGTGTGCGGTGGGACTGCTTTGTCCAAGACGCGTGGGCCAAAATCGGGGACGTGCGCATTTTCGCCCTCACTCGGGATCTGGCAGGTGGGGGGCGACCCAGGAGAGGAGGCCTGGCCTGCGTCTGAGCACTGAGCTCCGAAGGGGCGAAGGCCAGCGCCTCGCCTCTTCGCGCGGCTCGCGTGCCGGAGGATCGGTTTCGTGAGCTGGCTCAGCACCGCCTCGCTGCTCGTGGGCGCAGGAGACCCTGGGGCGGCCCCTGCCCCCTTGCTCACCTCTCTGCCCTGCCGTCCCCGTGCCATTAATGAGGCCGGGATCTCTGGGACCCGCCTTCCTTGGGCGATAATAAACTGTTTGTTGCCCCTCGTTACGTCAGCTGTGAGTGATCATTCCGGCCCCGGGGAGGCGGCGGGGTGGGGCCCGGGAGCGCGTGGCGGAGCTGAGCCGCCCAGTCGGGTCGGGTCGTGTCAGCGGGGCCGCGGGGGCAGGAATGCAGAGGGCGGACCTGCCGGGCGACAGCTGGCTGCGTGGGCCTGTTTCCTGTGGGGGGGAGGGGCTGGCCGGGGGTTTGGAGGGGCATCTCACCACCGACCCGGCCACTGAGGCAGAAGAACGGGAGCCAGGCGTTTGTGCGAGGCCTTTATGTCACCAAGGAGGTGCGCGCAGCCCTTCTCACTTCTTCAGCTGAGCCAGGAACAGGGGCAGGAAGTGCCTGCTGGCCGCCCGCTTCCGTGGCTTGTCCCTCTTGCAGGCAGGCCACCTCCTCCGCTGGGCCGCCTCCCCCTGTGCGTCGGTGGGCGCCAGCCCCCCAGCCACGAAGCAGCGGGCGGCGCAGACCATGTCCTCCTCGCACACCCCCGGCACCGGCACGGTCGGGATGCCGGCGATCATCATCGCCAGGGCTAGGATGCAGACGTTGGGCGGCAGGCGAGGCCCCGGCTGGGCCCCGCGGCCGAGCGTCGCCGACACCACCAGGACTCCCCGGGGCAGGAGGCCCCACCGGGCGAGGGCGAGGTCCCCGGGCCCCGGCGGAGGAGGCAGCCGCGGAGCCGAGGGGAGGCAGAGCCAGCCGTCCCCCGCCTGCCCAAGGGGGGGCTCCTCCGCCGGGCCCTGGCCGGGGAACCCGGAGCGCGGGCCACCCTGCGGCGCGGCGGCCCCCTGGCCTGGCCTGCCCCCCGCGCGCGGCTCTGCAAGGCCGGGCTCCTGGGGCGCCTGCGTGGCCCGGGGCCGGGCGCTTGGGGCCCCCTCAGCGTGCGGCTTCCTTCGCGGGGGCCCCGTTGCGGAGGGGCCGCTGGCGGGGGCGGGCGCCTCCGGAGGCGCCCCGGGGTGGAGGCGAGCCAGGCTGCGTGGCGCTCCGCGGCCCTCTCTGCTGCTGCGCGGTTCCCCTGTGAGGAGGAGAGGCAGCGGTCAGCGGGGCTGGAGTGGGTCGCAGGCGCGGGGGGCGGGGCGGGGGGAGCGGGGCGCCTGGAGGGGCAGCCCAGCCCCTCGCTCCTGCGCCCGCCCTGCGCCTCCTCTGGCTGAGCAACCCTCTCCCACTCCCCCTTGGGAGCTGTGAGGCCGTGTGGGAGAGATGGCGTGGCGCGCACGTGGCGGCCCCACTTCTCCCTCCGGCCCTGTGCCGTTGGCGAGGGAGCCGCTCTTGGGGCTGGTGGAAGAGCAGGGGGCGGCTTCCTCGCGCGGAGCAGGGCCGTGGCCTGGCAGGGCCACGTCCCAAGGCCCCTGGGGGGCAGGCGGGAAGCAGCGCACGGGATCCCCTGCTCCGTCCCTGCCGGGCACTGCGTGACTCGGGACATGCGTGGTCTTTGGGGTGGGGGGGCCTCTGGCCGGCAGCACAGTGAGGGGGCAGGGAGGCTGCATCTTGGCCCCATTTCTGGCGCGCCTCACAGGCACCCCTGGCCGGCCTTTCTGGACCAGGACCAGCACCGTCCCCGGGGCCCCCGGAGGGGCCGGCCCTCCCCTGGCCTTTCGGGCGGCCCGGCCTTAGCGGGCCCAGCAGCGGCTCACCCTGCCCGCCTGGGTTTGCAGGCGCGCTGCAGAGGGGCCCGTGCACAGCCCCCGAAAGGGGGCAGGGGAGCGTTACCTTGGAGGCGCGGGGGCAAGAGGCCCGAGGAACGTTTCTCCATCCCACGACAGGGCGTTCTGGGACGGAGCCCGGGCTGCGTTTGCCCCGTGTCCCCCCCACCATTCTAGAACCGGCGTCACAGGGCTTTGCCTGAGGTCACACAGAGCGGGGCCCCCGTGGACCACCTGGTTGCCCTCGGGAGCCGGACCGCCCGAGGCAGACATGCCTCCGGTGGCTGAACCTCCTGCCTGCCGGCCCAGGACGACGGTGGAGCCCGGGAGGCGGAGGCTCTCCCATGGGGGCCTTTGGGGGCCGCTGGACGGCCCCCCAAGGCGGTACTTTGACCAGGAGTCCAGCGCTGAGCGGGGGGCACACCCGCCGGCCTCCCGCCCTCCGCCAGCCGATTCTCCCCCTGCAGGTTCCACGGTGGCCCATCTAGCCGGGCCCCCACCCCTCCTAGCCTCCCGTTCTGCAGCCAGGGGGGACGGCAGCCGAAGTTACACTCCCACGACTTGCCGGGTTGTTTTCCAAGGCAGCTTTATTGCTTCATCCCACTCCCACGGAAGCCGAGATCGCTCCTGCCCGGCCCCACCCCGGGAATTTCCGGCTGCAGCAGCCTCTTTCCCTCGTCTCGTTGACTGGAAGCAGCCTCCCCCCCCCGCTGCCAGGCCTGCTCCGCCGTGCAGGGCGGCCCGCCTCTGCCGTCACGCCCCACGCAGGTGGCCACGACGGGGCCCTTCGTCGGCAGAGCCGGCCACGGCCCGCCTCGCACGGTCGCCGCGTCCACGCGCCCCCGAGCCAGCCAGGTCCCCGCGGCGACGCCGGGGCTGCCAGGGGGCCGCGCAGCGCTGGCCCCTCACTCGTCCTTGCAGAAGTTCTTCAGCAGCTGCGGGAGGTGGAGCCCATCGATTGCCAGGCGGTGGACAACGTGCTTCTGGACGGCCAGCCGGCAGAGGGTCTGCAGGGAGGGGACTGGAAGGGAAGGGGAGCGGCTGAGCAGTGCGGTTGCGCAGCTTCGGTGCTGCCCCCGCGCAGACACGGTGTGCTCCGGAGCAAGGAATGAGCGCATCGGAACAGGCGGGATCCCTCCTCCCGGCTGATCATACCCAGCAGCTACGTGACCAAGTGGCAAAGCTGTTTAGGGACCCAGGAATCAACTGGCTCCACCGGCTGTAGTTCCAGCCTGCCTTCTCTCTCGGTTCCAATGAGGAGAGACTGAGGGGCGGAGAAAAGTGGGCCTGTTCAGCCTTGGGAAGAGGAGACTGGGGGGATGAGAAATCCCTCTGGAAGTCCCTCCAAGGCTGTCACAAAGGGGAAGCTCACGATCTCTTCTCGCTGATGCCAGAAGAGTGCAGGACACAGAATAATCAATCCAAGTTGGGACAACCCAGATTCTGGCTGGACATCAGGAGGAGCTTCCTCACGGTCAGAGCAACACGGCAGTGGGACCAGCTGCCTGGAGAGGTGGGGGGCTCTCCCACACTGGAGGCATCCAAGGAGAAACTGGACAGTCCTCTGAGTGGGGTGGTGTGAATTATTTATTTATTTGGGTATTTTTACCCCGTCCAACACCCAGTGGGTCTCTGGACGGCTTGCTTGGTCTCCTGCAGCAGCAGGGGGTGGACTCGGCCTTCATGGCCCCTTCCAGCTCTGCTCTTCTAGGATTCTTTCCTGCAAGGAACTCGAGGCAGCATCCATAGTCGCCTTTCAGCCTTGTCCTTGCACCCCTGCGAGGTGGGTTGGGCTGGGCCTCTGGCTGGCCCAAAGACCCCTACAGGGCTCCGTGGCCGAGCGAGGCCCAGAACCCGGCTCGCCGAGCCCCCGTCCCACCCTCTTAACGACAACGCCACGCTGCCTCTCGGACTGGGCTGGGGCACGCCTGCTGCTCCATGCGAGCAGCCTCCCCTCCATGGAATGAGGGCCACGCGCCCGTTGGCTACCTCTCTGTCTGGACAGGGTTCGCCCCGCCTGACAGCGCATCTTAACGAACGCGTCGCGGGTTCTGCCCCCGACAAGCCCTCCGTTCTGCAGTTTTCCATTTGTGCACGCCCCCACCCCTTCCTGGCTGTGGGCAGCCGCAGCCGGCCTGGGGCACACGGGTGCCTCCCGGCCGGGCACTGCCACACATGGGCAGAGGCGCGTCGCCTCCTCCTGGGCCTGACAGACCAGCTCGGGGACCGGGACGCTGCGTGCAGACGGGGGCTTCCGCCTGCCGGAGAGTGCAGGCCTGAGGATCGGGGCCCAGTGCGCAGCAGGCCTGCCTGTGCCTTCCCTCCAGGCAGGCCCCTCTTCCAGGCTGAGCCTGCCTGCGGGCACATTGCGAGGCTTTTCGAGGCTTCCGGAGGGCGGGTTCCTTCGACCCTGTCCAAAGGGAAGGACGCCAGAGGCCATCGCGAGCCCCGAGGCCATCGTGGGGGCGCTGATCCAAACCCTGGAGGTGCAGCCGCCCCGAGCGTGTGACCGGGACTCGCGGGGAGGCGGCTGCAGAGGCGTGCTTCTCCCCGCTGCCGCCCAGATCAGTTTCCTCCCCGCAGGCCAGGAGGCTTACTCACGCCGCCCACATCTGCCCCTGTTGTTGCTGTGCTTGCCTGTTGGGGGGGGGGATGGGATGCAACCCTGACCCAAGGCCAAGGCAGGAGAAGCCCTGGGGCCGGGCTGGGCTGGGCTGAGCTCCCTCCAGTCCAGCATCTTGCTCACACGGTGGCTAACCTGGTGCTCACAAGGCCCCACGAGCAGAACAGAGTGCCCATGCGCCCCAGCGACTGGTGCATTGAGGCACACTGGCTCCGATAGCAAGGGTGCCGCGAGAACCAGTCGCCATCACTAGCCATGGGCAAGGCATCGTGAAGTATCAGGGACCCCGAGGAGGCCTGTGCGGGCCCAGCCACCGGCAGCCCCCTTGCGGCCAGCTGGCTGGGCTCTCGCTCCGACGGCAGTGAGACCGGGACCCGCGGGGTGGAGGCCCCGGTACCTTTGGAGAAGCAGATGAGACCCCCCGCCCCGGCCCTGGGGAGCCTTTCCATTTCCTCTGTGCGAGGAGCTGGAGGTGAGGGGCAGGGGGACGGGCGCAGGACCCCCGGGCTTGCCCGTGCGAACGCCACGCCCTCCCCCCCCCACCGCGTGCTCCCCACACCTCGGCTACTGCCTGCCCACCCAGCCCTAGAGCAGAGAGAGGCCAGATGGCTGGCATAGCGGCAACGTGGGGGAGGCCACTGGGACCCAGCTGCATCACCTCCCCGCTGGCCCTCGTGACGTGAGCGGCCCATCCTCCTGGGTGCCTGTGAAGGCCAGCCTTGAATGGGCCGGGGACACCCAGAAGCAGTGGGCGCCTCGGCCCGTGTGGTGCTGAAAACCACAGCGCCGTGGGACGTGGCTCGTGCGCAGCTTAGTCTGCTGAGGCCCGTGGCCCTCACAAACCACACAGCCGCCTTTGGGCCCAGGGGCAGGGGCATCTTGTGGCCCCCTTGGGGGGCTGCATCTGTCTCCTGCGAGCGCCTCCCCCACCTCCCTTCTGGCTTGCCAGCGGGCTCCCAGCCCACTAAAGCAGCTGTGGGGGCCGACAGCCATCAGCCCCACTAGCATCACCAAGGATGGGGTGACAAGCTGCAGTCCTGCAACATCTGGGGGGGCTCAGGTCCCCCACCCCACGGTCCTGAGTGTTTCCGGAGCAGGAGTGGGGCCTCACCCTGTGGGTGCACTGGTGGCAGCATCGCCCCCCCCCCCCCGGGCTGCACAGCTGCCACCTGGAGTCGGCCCGGCGATCCGCAGCCAACCTGGCTTTCCCGGCGTGCTTCCGGAGAACGGACAGGGCCTGCCTGGGTCCCCACTGCCCTTAGGACCTCCCCGTCTGCTTTGACCGCCCGCCCCGGTCAAGGGACGCCCCGAGCACGAAGTGGGTGTTCGGGAGCAAGAGCAGCTGATCCTGGATGGGAGCCCGTCCGGTGCCCTCCAGGTGCTTTGGATTTCAGCTCCCAGCATGCCAGGCTGGCTGGGGTTGATGGAACCCGAGTCTGCTCCACCAGGGGTGGGAGAGCTGTGGGTGAAGGTTGGCCTTCGCTCTCCCGAGAGGACATCCTGCCTGCTGCTTCCACGGCATGGTTGGGTTTTGCCTGCCTGGAGCAGAGCGCAGCTGCGCCCCCCCCCCCCCGCCCCCTCCGGGCAGGCCAGGCCAGGCCACGCCACCTCGCTGGCTGCTTGCAAATCCCAGTGATATGCAAATGAGAAAATTGGCTCTCGGAAATAGTTAGAGGGGGCGGTGGCGAGAGTGCGCTAGAAAAAGGGCGGCCCACAGCCGGATCGAACACGCCGGGGCAGTGGCTCATCCGGGTGATATGCAAATGAGAAAATTGGCTCTCGGAAATAGTTAGAGGGGGCGGTGGCGAGAGTGCGCTAGAAAAAGGGCGGCCCACAGCCGGATCGAACACGCCGGGGCAGTGGCTCATCCGGGTGAGTCAGAAATGAACTGGCTGTGGAGGAAAACAGCTTGCAAACCGGAGGGCGTCCCTTCCTCGGCAAGCAACAGCCTGGGCTTGTGGCACATTGCGGGCCAAGCGGTGTGTTGTGGCGTGAGCATAGAAATGTTAATAATAATAATAATAATGATGATAATGATAATAATAATGAGCCACGGCCCACGTCAGCAGAAGTTTCTGACATCAGAAATGAGTTGGTCTCTCCGGTGCCACGAGAACCGCCGGTTTTGTTGCCACAGAGGCTGACACAATTCCTCTGGGAAGCCTCTCCGGTGTGACTTGCGGCTTCCTGGTGGTTCCCAGCACTGAATCTGGAGCAAATGGTAAACAGGAAGGATGGCGAGAGGGAGCCCGGCTTCCTGGGCCAGCCTCGCCTGCCGGCAACGTGTGAACGGCGTTTGGCACCCCTGACGCTCTGGAGGGCAGCGGGCACGGCCAAACCGTGTGGAAGGCCATAAAGCGCTCGGAGCAGCACAGAGCAGGCCACCCCCTGCCGGTGCAGACACCAGGTCATGCCCCCGCTCAGGTGGCGGTCCGAGCGCTTTCTGAATGCCTCCGGCCAGGGAGAGCCGCCGCTTCCCCAGGTACCCGGCCCCATTGCGGTGCTACCCTGACAGTGAGGGAATTTCCTAGTGCCTAGTCTAAATCTGCCTCCCTTTAACTTGTGTCCATTATTCTGTGTCCTGCACTCTTGAACACACACACAGAGATCTTGTCCTTTGTCTTTGTGGCAGCCTTTCGGAGTGCTACCCTATTTTTGTTTTTTATATTGCAATTTATACCCTGCCTTTTTCCTACAAAGGGCTCAAGGCAGCTGACATCATTCTCCTCCTCCATCTTATCCCCACAACAACAACCCTGTGAGGTAGGTTGGGCCGAGAGTCTGTGACTGGCCCAAAGTCACCCAGTGGGCTCCATGGCTGAGCGGGGACTCGAACCCGGATCGCCTGAGTCCCAGGCCCATGCTCTTCACCATGACACCACCCTGGCTCTCTATTGCCCCTCGGTCTTCCCTTCTGGGGGCTGAAGATGCCCAGTTCTCTCTTTCCTCAGAGGCTTTGCCCGCAGGCCCAGAAACATCCTGGCTGCCCTCCTCTGCACCCTCTCCAGCTTCTCTTCCCCCTTTTAAAACTTGGGTGCCCACGGGTGAGGTCTGACTAGTTCTGCGGATGGCCGAATTCGTACTTCACATGTTTTGGAAGTGATGCTTCTGTCAAGGCAGCACGAAACAGCATTTGCCCAGGACTGGCTCGTGTTGAGCCGGTGATCTGCAGCAATCCCAGGATCCTTCCCATGCGCAGCACGGCTGGGGCCCCGCCTTGTTTTTGCATCTGGGTTCTTGTTCCCGAGTGGAGGACTCGGCACGCGCCCCGACTGAATTTCATTCTGCCGCGCTCTGCCCAGCGCTCTCGATCACCCTGTGTCTTCCAGGATATTCGCTGTTTCGCCCAGCTTTGTGTCACCTGCAAATTTCATTCCGTTTCCTTGGACTTCCTCATCTAAATCATGAATCAAACAGGTGAACCTGCAGCACCCCCTTGGCGCCTCCCCTCCGCCTGATGCTTGCACCTTCCAGCCCACGGCTTGCTAGGCTGGTAAACGGGATGTCCACCCACGCTTCGCCAAAGGCTTTCTCGGTCTAGAGGGACGATGGCCCTTTGGGAAGTAACCCAGTCACAAAATGACATTAGATTTGTCTGGCAGGATTTGTTCTTGAGAAATCCATGTTCTTGAGAAATTCTAATAATTATTGCATTGTCTTCAAGGTGCTTGGGGAGTGTTTGCTTTATAATTTGCTCTAGAATTTTTCCAAAGACTAAGCAATCAATAGTCCCCAGACTAATCAATTTTTTCCCTTTCTTGTATGTATGTATGTATGTATGTATTTAAAGTTTTTGTATGCCATCCCCTTGCTATATAGCCAGGACGGCTCACACAAATAAATAAATATAATACAAATACAAGTAAAACCAGGAAACACACTGCCATCTGGCAGTATTCCTGTCTCTTCCTGTCTTCCATGAATTCTCAAAGACGGTAGATGGTGGTTCTGAGAGTTGTTTTGCTAGCTCTTTTATGACTCTGGGGGGAGGTTCATTGGACCCTGCAGATTTGAAGCCATTTAGCCCAATTAAAAGATCCCGACCCATTTGCCTGCCAGTCCTGGGCTACTCCTGTGCCGGGAGGGTTCTGGTTCTTCTCTGGGAGAAGACTAAGCCAACGCAGGAGTCGAGCGCGTCTGCCTTTCCTTTGTCGTCAGCGATCGTTGTTCCAGCCCCATGAGTAGCTGGACTCCCTGCTCTTTTGTCTGTCTGTCGCTTCGGACGAAATTGGAGGAGGCTTTTTGTTGCTTCTAGCTCCCCGCTAGTCTGTCTGTTCTTCCCTTTAGTCCTCCTAATGTCACCCTCGCTCCCTGTCTGTGTCCTCCACTGGTAGCCTGGCCTTCCTTGCGCCTCCCACGCAGGCCCCCGTTGGCCTTCAGGTTCTCTCGCAGCTTTCCGGGAAGCCACACGGGCTTCCTCTCTCGTCTGCCACTATTTCTCCTGGTTGGCATTGCTGGCAGTGGTGCCATCGGCATTTCTCTTTCAAAGCTGTCCCACCTTCCTGGGCCCCTTTTCTCTTTAGAGTGGCTTGCCATGGGTCTTTGGTTGTCATTGCCCTGCATTTGTTAAAAGGTGGGGGGGGGGTTATATGCACGGTCCCTGTTTGGCTACATTTAGTTTTAGCTTCTTTTATTACTAAGATTTCACGTTAGGCAAGGTCACTTTTGCCCAGAGTTCCTGTTGGTCAGGATCAGGTCGAGCAGGCACCTCTCATCCCTACCTCTGCTCTCTGAAGGAGGAAGTTGCTTGCCGAGTCCTAGAACCTTCCTCAGCATCCTGGGGATTTTGCGGGGACCTGCCAGTCTTTGCAGATGGGCAGACTCTGGAGCTTCGCAGAATACACTGTTGGCATGGCTGCACACCGGAAACCTGTCGCCGGCCACCCATACTTGTGCTCCCAGCTTCTTCCCAGAGCGTGTCACAAAACTCGCTGTTTGCACCAAAACCCTACAGCACAACCATGTCTGCTCAGACTCCTCTGGCAGAGTACGATCCTATACATGTCTGGTTAGGGAAAAAGTCCTCCAGCTGCAGCATCCCTGGAGTGCGAGGAGCTGGGGGGCCTCTTCCTGCGAGGACCCACAGGCCCAATGGCCTGGATCAGGCGTCGCCCTGCCCGGAAGGGGCGCACGCCAAGGACATCCGTGGCCTGTTCTGTACCAATGTCAGGATGCGCCCAGCAGAGAAAACAGCAGAAGGCGCTTCTAACATCCCCACGCCTCTGGTAGGGTTGGCTGAGAGTCTCTCCTTCCTTGGTGGACGCTCCCCGCTCACCAGCAGAGCAGGCTGCGGAGCAGAGACGGATGTGGGGAGCTGCCTCGGCTCCCCGCCCGGCCTCGCTGTGCCACCCACAGGAGCAGGGCTCCGTCCCCGCTCGCCTGCCGAGGAGGCCTGCCTCGTCCTGTGCTGGCAGCGCCCCCCTGCATCCCAGGCGGGCTGGGCGGGCCGGTCTCTGTCCCATAGAAGAAACAGACCATACCCCGAGAGCAGGACAGGCACCCCCGAAACCAGCGGGAGCCGCCTCAGCCGCCTCAGACACTCTCTCTGGCCGCGTGGAGCCCGGCCCTTCCTCTGCGGAGCAGCTGGGCTGCCCCCTACGAAGAGGTCCGGCTCCTGCCGCGCGTGCAGGGCCAAAACGTGTCGTGGACACACCAGCAACTCACAGCACAAAGGGCAAGAGGCCTGCCCAGAAGATGCGGCAGCCAGAGGAGGGCTCTCAGCCGCAGCCCCTCGGGACCCAGAGATTTCCGCACCAGAGAAACCCACAGAAGAGCACAGGACAGGCCCGCCTGGGTCGGAGCAGCCCAGCCCGCCACACACAGGGGGCAAACAGTGGCCCCCAGGGCCCCTCAAGAGGGGTGGGCGCAAGAGCTCCTGCTGCCAAGCCCCCAGCGACTGCTCACACGCACAGGCATGCGGCCTCTGCCGAAGGAGGGGGCACGCGGCCAGCCAGGCTGGCGTTCGCCGAAGCCCCCGCTTCCCCCACGAACCTGTCCAAGACACCCAGACTGGCGGCCAGCGCCGCTTCCCGCGGCAGCCAATTCCACCGTCTAACCATGCGCCGTGTGCCAGAGGACTTCCTTTTATCTGCCCCAACTGGGTTTGAGCATTCCAGGACAAGGGGGAAAGGTCCCCCCGCCACCTTCTCCCCCGCATGGCGCCTTTTTTCTCAGCCAACGATCCCAGCAGCAGCGCTCCAGCCGCGACCCCGCGAGCGCGGCGGAGCTCTCGCCCCTGCACGAGAGGGAGCGGCCCCCGAAGGGGAGCCTTCCCGTCCCGTCTGCGGCCGTGGGGGGGGGGGTTGCCCGGCAGAAGCCGCGGTACCTACAGCCATATTCCAGCTGGATGAGGCGGACGCTCTTGGTGGAGGCGAAGACGTCGACCACGGCGTAGAGCGGGCGCGAGGCGGGCAGGCCCCGGGCGCTGGGCCCCATGTCCTCGCCGTTGATGACGACGTGCATGTCCGCCGTCCCGTCCGGCTGCAGCGTGTACAGCACCCCGATCCGGCTCCTGCGCGCCGTGGCAGGGATCACGTTCGCCCGGTACAGCTCGTCCAGGATGTGGCTGTACCGGCCAGGCCTGCTGCGGCCCACCAGCTGGTCCCGCGGGAGCCTGACGTGCTCGATGCGCAGGTAGGGGCTGAGGAGGAAGCCCCGCGCCCCGGCAGAGACCTGCTCCTCGGCGCCCCTTGGGGAGACCCGGTTGTGGTTGCGGGTGATGGCGAACACCCAGCTGTCCCCCAGGTTGACCAGGTCGGGCAGCGAGTACTCCGGCACGGGGGCCAGGCCGCGCGGGTCCTGCGCGGTCAGCCCCACCCTCAGGTGCCCGCACCAGCCCAGCTCCTTCTCCGCAATCTCCACCAGGAAGACCTGCCCGGGGGCCAGCGGCTCGTGGCTGAAGCACAGGCCGTGGGCAAAGCTCTCCACCCGAGTGGCCTGGGTGCGGGAGGCGTCAAGGCAGACGTTGGCCCCGTGGACGGGGTGAAACCGGGTGGTGGGAGGGCAGGCGGCCGCCATCGCCGGGCCGGCCTCCCAGGCCCAGCCTGAGCCTATTTTTAAGGCCTGCGAGTCATGCAGCTGCTGCCTGTCCCCAGGACACTCGAGATCTCCCCGGGGAGAGCAGGGCTGCCGGAAGCTGGCCGGCCGGCCGGTCCTAATGCCCTGGAGCTCCCGCCGCTGGCAGCGCTCGCTCGGACAAGCAGGAAGGGTGGCCCGGCCTGTCCTGGTGGGCCGGCTGGCAGGCGCAGCCGTGTGACATGCCCGGCCTTTGGCCCTCGCGCACGAGCGCCTCTGTGCCTGCAGACGGCAACGGCGGCTTGTTCAGGGGCCCGCCATGGGACCCGGCTGACCCCGGGCAGACCGCCACCCACGGCTGCCGGGCAGCCACCCAAGTGGGGCCTCCGTGTCCAGAGGCAGCCTCACAGAATCACGGAAGAGCAGAGCTGGAAGGGGCCAGGAAGGCCATCGGGCAGCCCCTGCTGGTGCAGGGTGCCAGGTCACCCCCCCCCTCGGAGGGCTGCCCGGTCTCTTTTTGAATGCCCACAACTTCCTGGGCAGCTGGCCCCACTGCTGCTTTGCTCTGGCAGTGAGGAAGCTTGTCCCTTCCCGGTCGCTGCCGCACGGCCAGGCAGGACGGCTCCTGCCCCCGAGCAGGCTCCTCGCAGCCTCTGCGCCCGCAGTGGAAGGCCAGGTGGCCTTTGGGCCGGCTTCGCCGGGTACGTTTTTCTGCGCTCCGCATCAATCCCCCGCTTGCCCAGCCGACCCGGTGCCGTGTGTGCCCTGCGCCCGTCTGCAGGGGAAAGGCCGTGGCGGCCGTGGCAGTCCCCCTGGGGCACGAGGGCCCTGCCGGCCGCCGGCCTCTGTGCACGTCCTGCAACGCAGCCGAGGCCCATTTCTGTCGCGCTGCGGCACCAGGACAGGCCCGGGCCTGCCCCGGTTCGCATCTGGGGCAGCAGAGCCGGGCGAGGTGGGGCTGCGGTCTGGGGCTCCCTGCCCTGGCCAGGCGGACCAGCCCGTCTGGCCCATGCCTGCCGCCGCCAGCCGAGGTGGGGAAGCCAACGCCTGCGGCACCTCAGAGGCTCGCGGTGCAGCGGCCCGCCAGCCGGGGTCCCCCCCATGCGCCCACGGCCCCCTGCCCCGACTTCCCTGGGCCCCTTGGGGAGCCAGTCCTGCACCCTCAAGCGCGAGCGGCAATTCAGGCGGCGCCCACGGGGCGGCTGCTGCCTCTTCTGGCCTGAGGCCCCCAGCCAGGCCAGGAGCGGGGGGCGGTGCGGGGGGGCTGGCGGCGTCGCGGGCCAAGAGCCGCCCCTCGCCAGTGCGGAGGGCCGGCTGAGGCCGCCTGGGGGCCCAGCGGCGGCTGCACCGGAGGGGCCCCTCTGCGTCCGGCCGGGCTGCGGACCTGGCCCGGGGCGCAGAAGGCCGTGCGCACGGAGGCCCCTTCCGCCGAAAGGGGCTGCCGCCGCCCGCGCTCGCGGTGCCTGGCCGGGGCCTTCGCGGCCGCAGCCGGGCGGGCGGCCTTTTGCTCGCACGAGCGGCCACCGGACCGCCGGGAAGAGCGCCGCGCCGGGCAGCCCCTGCGCGGAGGAGGCGCAAAGCCCACGCGCTCGGCGGCAAGCGCGCTTCCTCGCGGGGCCCGCCGCGGCCGGGGGGAAATACGGTAGGGCCGCGCGGCGCGAGCAGCCAATACGGCCCGCCGCCAGGGCCGGCCCCGCCCCCGAGGCCCCGCCCCCGTCAGGTGACCGCGCCGCCGGGGAGAGGGGCGAGTCGCGTGCGCTCCCCATTCGCCTGCGGAGCCGCCGCCGCGAAGCACCGACCGGTGAGCTGCGGGCTTGGCGGGGCTTGGCGGGGCTTGGCGGCGGGCGACCCGCCCCCCCCGCGCGGGACGGGCCGGCCTGTCCAACGGCGGGCGGGCGGGCGGGCGGGCGAGGGGGCTGCCGCGCGTCGGGCGCCGCCCGGGCCGTTCCGCGCCGACCGGCTGCTCCTGGCCCTTGCCGCAGATGGCCCCTGCCCCGCTGCTGCTGCTGCTGCCGCTGCTGCTGGCCGTGGCCCCGGTGCCCCGGGCGGGGGCGGCTCCACCTGGGCACGAGATCAAGTACCTGCCGGGGCTGCCCAAGCAGCCCGCCTTCAAGCAGTTCTCGGGCTACCTGGACGTCGAGAAGGACAAGCACCTGCACTACTGGTTCGTGGCGGGCCGGGCCGGGCGCGGGTTCTCGCGGCTCCCCCTCCTGCGGCCCTGGCGCTGCGCCCGGCCGCAGGTGCCTTCGGGCGCGGAGGAGGAGCGGCGGCCCTGGCGCCGGCCCGGCCTCGCCCTCACCCTCACCCTCTGCCCGCTTGCAGGTTCGTGGAGGCCCAGGGCAACGCTGCCGACAAGCCCCTGGTGCTCTGGCTGAACGGGGGCCCCGGGTGCAGCTCCGTGGCCGGCTTCCTGACGGAGCACGGCCCCTTCACGGTGTGTAGCGCGCAGCGCCTTCCTGGCTGCTCAGAGAGCAGGCGCCAGCGCCCGTGGCGGGCACCTTTTGTGGGGGGGGGGCGGCACGGCGCAGCCCTCCCGCACTTGGGGCGGCTGTCTGCAGGGCGCCCCTCGGTGGGAGCGCAGCAAGCCGCCCCGCGACTGGGCCGGCCGGCACTGGGAAGCCCGTGGGGCCGCAAGCGAGGGCGGCCCCCTCGCATACACTCTGCCGCCCCGGGGGGCTCGCCGTGGGTGCTGCGGAAGGCCACCCGGGGTGCATCCATGGTCCCAGTTGGTGGCCAGTAAGAGACCGGCCGGGGAGGGAATCTGGATGTGTGAAGGTGCCCGAGAGTGACTTCCGCTTCTGCTCTGGCAGGTCCAGCCCGATGGCGCCTCCCTGGAGTACAACGACTATGCCTGGAACAAGGTGAGGCCCCTTCCCCCCCGGCGCATGGGCACCTCGGGAGTGGTGGCTGCGAGTCCGGGGAGGCTTCCTGCTCCGGGGCGGTGACAGCCGGCATGGCCCCGGTGGGCGGCTCCCGGGGGCTGCGGCCCCCTCCCCGGCTGTGTCCCTGGGGGCTGGGCACTCCTGGAGTGACGCGGGCTTTCCTCTGCAGCTTGGCCACATGCTGTACCTCGAGTCCCCCGTCGGGGTCGGGTACTCCTATTCTGACAGCCAGGACTACCGGACCAATGACACGGAGGTGCGTGCTGCCGCGGCCCGGCGGGCGGGGGACTGGGTCCAGGGCTCGCGGGTCGCCGGCTGTACCTGCCAGGCACATCCCCCGCTCTTTCTCGGATAGGTGGCCCGCGTCAACTACCTGGCCCTGAAGGAGTTCCTCCGCCTCTACCCGGAGCACGGCAGCCGGGACCTCTACCTGACGGGGGAGAGCTACGGGGGCGTCTACATCCCCACCCTGGCCGAGTGGGTCATGCAGGACCCTGCCCTCAACCTGAAGGTGCGTGCCTCCCCTGGCCCGGGGGGACCCTGCCCCTCCCGGTGGCTGGGGGGTGCTGGTGTAGCAGGGGGGAGGAGGAAGGGGCCAGGGGTGGGGTGTCCACTGCTGCCTCCCACCTGGGAGGGCTGGCCACAGCCGTGGTCTCCTGGCGCGGTGCCCTCGGTGGGCACGGCGCAGGGGAGGGCAGCCCGGGGCGCGTCACCGGCAGGCCTGCAGCAGGCACCCCAGGAGGTCGCTTTTCCCGGTGGAACTCCGGCTGCCTCAGGGGCCGCGGTGTGGGCGGAGGGAGCGGCCGGAGATGAGCGCCCACCCGCCCGCCCGCCAGGCCACAGCGCGGCTGCGCCCGTGCCGGTGCTGCTGTGGGAGGGCCCCCGCCCCGGAAGAGGCTCCCCGCCCCGGGAAGAGGCTCCCCGCTGAGGGCTGGTGCGTGTGTTCCAGGGAATCGCCGTGGGCAACGGGCTGTCCTGCTACGAGACCAATGACAACTCCCTGGTTTACTTTGCCTACTATCACGGCCTCCTCGGGAGCAGGTGAGGATCGGCAGCGGAGAGCGGCCGTGCCACAGCACCGGGCTGGCACTGGCGGCGTCCCGCTGGCCTGGGCGCCCGCAGGCGGTGGGGGCCCCGCTGGGGCCCCGCTGAGGCCCAGCCCCCCGGTGGGGGCGGGGGCGGGGCGGGGCTAGCGGCCTCTCGGTCTTCCCCTCGCAGGCTCTGGGCGGACTTGCAGGCCTTCTGCTGCTCGGCGGGGAAGTGCAACTTCCACGACAACAAGGACGCGAACTGCACGCTTGCGGTGAGTGGGCGCCGCCCGGGGGACGGGGGGCCCTGCAGCCGGTGTCCCTCGGCGGGACGGTGCCGCTGCCGCCCCTTGGGCCGCCAGGCCGTGGCTGCCCTGCGCCTGCCCCGTGTGGCGACACGTGCTCCAGGCGTCGCGCAGGGGCTCCCGGGGCCGCCTGGTGCCTGGCCGGCGGCCGGACCACAGCGTTCCCCGTGGCCTTTTGCAGATGGCGGAGACGATCCGCATCGTGGACGAGTCGGGCCTCAACATCTACAACCTGTACGCCCCGTGTGCTGGCGGAGTGCCCGGGAGATACAGGTAGGCCGGCTGCGGGGAGGCCGCCTCGGCGGGCCGTGCCTGCCCCCACCCTCCCGGCCCCCATTCCTGGGGTGGGCAGCAGGGGCCGCTGGCTGCAGGGGAGCTCAGTGGGCTCCCTTGGCCGGCAGGTACGACAACGGCGTGCTGGTCACTCACGACATGGGCAACAACTTCATCTGGCAGCCGCTGCGCTACACCTGGCGGCAGGTGAGATCCCCCCCGCAAGGGGGAGCGTGCCCCCGCTGTGAGGCTTTTCAGCTGTGGAGTTCACGGGCGGGTTCTGTGCCCGGTTGGGGTCTCCCGAGGGCCCGTGGGACAACCTGCCTCGCGGGAGAGAAGGCTGGGAGGAGGGGGAGGAGGAGGAGGAGGGGGCCGGCCCCGTTGGCTCTTCCCAAGGACACAGGCGGGATGTGCGTGTGGTGAAGGAATGCGCGCTTCCCCTCCCCCGCAGCCCGCTCCTCCTGCGCCCTCGCACGCCTTTGCCCTCGCACGCCTGCGCCTCAGAAGCAGTGCGCCCTTAGGAAGCCTGGGCAGGTGGGGCCACCGCCCTCCTGCCCCACTGTGGGCTTCCCTGGGCAACCACGGCGCAAAGAGGATGCTGGGCGAGAGGGCCCTTGGCCTGATCCGGCCCCGGGGCTCTGAAGCTTTCCGGGACTTGGGTGCGGGGTGGCCGGCCTGCGGTCTCGGGAGCCGGGTGCAGGGATGGGGGGTAGTCGGACGAGGAAGCTCGGCAGGCGGCGGGAATTCCCCTCTGCGCCAGCTTCCTCTTCTTGATCCCGGGCTGAGCCCGCTCACACGCCTTGCCTTGGGGCCACGTCAGGAGGGTGGGTGCCGTGGCATGGCGTGCCACGGGGAGCGTGGGGGGCTGGGCACGCCTTTCGCCCGTGGCCTGGGAGGCACGAAGGCAGTCGCCACCACTGCTTGCTTGCCCAGAACCTGTACATGCTGCCAGCTGCCCGGAAGCGTGTGCGGCTGGACCCCCCCCTGCACCAACACCACGGCCCCCTCCACCTTCATGAACGACGCCCAGGTGCGCAAGGCTCTGCACATCGTGGACGGGGCCCCGGAGTGGCAGATGTGCAGGTGAGAGCCGGGCTGGGGGCGTGCAGGGGGGCATCCCCGAGGGGCTGGGCCGGGTGGTCCCCGGCCAGGTGACCCACCCCCCCCACCTCCCTTCTGCAGCTTTGCCGTTAGCCGGGGCTACAAGCGACTGTACATGAAGATGAATGACCAGTACCTGAAGCTGCTGAGTGTCATGGTGAGTGGTGGGCAGCAGCCCGTGGCCCCGCAGCCCGCCGCCCACCCGCCTGCCTGCCCCCAGGGGCAGGCCGCTTCGTGCCCCCCTCACTGCCTCCCTCTGTGCTGCAGAAATACCGCATCCTGCTGTACAACGGGGACGTGGACATGGCCTGCAACTTCCTGGGCGACGAATGGTTTGTGGACTCGCTGCAGCAGAAGGTGGGCCGGGCCGCACGGGATGCCCTGCCTCTGTGGGCCTGGTGGGGGGGCAGGGGGGGCGGGGATGGCCTCAGTCCCTGGGGCTGGGAAAGATGCCCCACAGGAGGCCGACCGGCTCCGGAGGCGCAATGGCCTCGCCCCAGGCAGGGCCCCCCAGCCCCTCGTGTGCTCTGGATCCCACCAAAGTTTCCGGAAAGTCCTGCCGGCTGCCCCAGGGAAGGAGTGGGCCCTCCTGCTTGGGGGTTGCTGGGCCTCTCCGGCCCGGCCAGGCAGGCGGTCTCCACAGGGCAGCCCAGGAAGCGTGGCGATGGCGGGCGGCCTGCCCCGCGGGGGACGCGTGTGCTGGCGGCACTCTCCTTCCCGCGTGCTCCAAAGTGCTCGCTCGCGGCACGCCCGCCAGGCCTCGGCCTGGTCCTGGCCCCCTGAGCCGCCTCTCGCTTCTGCCGCAGGTGGCCGTGTCTCGGCGCCCCTGGATCTTCACCGATGAGAACGGGCAGGACCAGATCGGGGGCTTCGTGAAGGAGTTCGCCAACATCGCCTTCCTCACCGTCAAGGTAACGGGAGGCGGCGGAGGCCCGGCTGGGGGGCTTCCCCTCGCCTCCGGACGGCGCCCAACCTTTGCCCCCGTGTCTCCCCCCCCGCAGGGTGCAGGCCACATGGTGCCCACGGATAAGCCGCGCGCAGCCTTCAGCATGTTCAAGCGCTTCATCACGCAGCAGCCCTACTAGCCTGGGGCCCACGGCATGGCCTCCACCCCACAGAGACCGCTTCCCGCTTGGGCAGTGGGTGCGAGCCCCGCCGGACTGTGCAGCCAGTTGGACTCCGGTGGGACCGCCGCGTCCGCCCGTTGCTGCCGGGGGGGCGGACGTGGGGCGTACCGTCACAGCCCTCCCGCCCGTGGCTCTGGGCTGCCAGGACGATGGCGGGGCGGGCGCCTGCACAGACTGCTCTGCGGCTGGACGGGCCCTGCGCACCGCTGCCTTGCACTCTCGCACTGTTCTCGGGGAGCAACCGCCGCCGCCCCGAAGGGACCACTCCTCGCCTCAGTTCTCTGCCTTGCAGAGGGGGCTGCCCGAAGCCGGCTCCCTCTCGAACCACGCCACCAGACTGTGGCCACCCCACGCCATTAAACCTTGTTCCGAAGGGAGCCGAGTCTGTCTTCCGTGGGGCCGGGCCGGGCCGGGCCAGTCCCGTCTGGCTGCAGGGCCCCTGCATCCCCCGGGAGGGCAGCTGGTATGGGCGCCGCCAGCCCTGTCCCGCCTCCCGTGCTGGATGATCCGCACCCCTTCCCTTCTCCCCCCCCCCCGGTTCCCGCAGTCTCGTGGGGGGAGCACCCGCTTCCGCTTGGCCTTTCTCTTCCTGTTCTTGTGCAGCTGCTTCCTGCGTGCAGAGGCTGTGGCCCAGCCCGGAGCTGCCCCCAGGCAGCGCTCGGGGAGGAGCGGGCCCCCACTGTCCCAGCTCCTCGGCCTGCTTCTCAGTGGGGGCGGGGGGGCTCTGGCTCATGCACCCGGAGGGCCCCCGCTGGCGGAGCCGCCTTGCTCTGGCTGCCTGCCGAACGGCTGGTGGGGTGTGGGAGGTCGGCAGGTCAGCCCCACGCTTCGCACTCCCCATCGCTCCCAAGTGCCAAAAACCGTGTTTGGGGGGGGGGGCACGCGTTCTTGTAAATGCGGCTCGGGAGGCGTGGCACATCCGAGCCACGGAGCACGGCAGCCGCTCAGCTTTGATCCCTGAACCGTGCGAGAGCAGTGCTGGGGGGTGGCAGGGGGCCGTCGGGGCCAGCCCTCCCCCCCCCCAAGTACAGGACTCCAAGTGAGAGCCTCCCCCACCCCGCGGGCTGTCCAGTTGCCTCTTGACCCTTTCCAGCAGCCAGCCCCCAGGGCTTATTTCCAAAGCGAATGGCCACGTATTTCAGCCAGATTTTTAAGAGTCGGCCACTAAATGGCCCACAGCCAGGAGCCCCCGGATGTGGCAGTGGGCGCCAAGCACCTTCCTTCTCCGAAGCCTCCGGCTGCGCCTCGTCCGTCCCCGGGAGCGTCTCTTTCCTGGGACATGCAGAAAAGGGCCTGGATCCCGGTTGATTCGGGGCAATCCAGAGATGGAGGAGCAGGCAGGCACGGCTGCCGGGAGCAGAGGGCCGCGGTTCGTCCGGGCCTTTGGGTGCCCTGGGGCTACCCTGCCCCCCCCCCATTGTGGGCTGCTTTCCCCTGTCAGGGGCAGCGGGAGCCCTGAAGGGCCGGCATAAGAGCCAAGGGACCGGTCTCCTGCCACGGAGCCCCTCCCGGGGCTGCCGGGGGTCCGCGTGCTGGGAAGGCTGGCAGCTGGACTAGCACCCCGCCTGTGGGCCCGGCCCTGCAGCCTCCCCCGCCCCGGCTGCGTTCCCTCCCCCGGAGCGTGGCCACTCGCTGCGGGACGATGAGCTCCAGCTCTTCCTTGGCTACCGGCTGGAGAAGCCGTGTGCCCTGGCTGGGTTTCGGGGTGGGACGTGGCTGGCAGGAGCAGCGTGTTTATCACAGCCCCACCTCCGGGCCGTGGGGGAGCCGCAGCTTTCAGGGGGCCCATAAAGAGGCAGCTCACAGGAGCGGGGGCCTGGGAGGCCCCCCGCCAGTGCCGAGTGGCTGGGAGGGGCAGGCCACCCGTGCCCCAGGCCTGCCGCGGGCTTTGGCCAAGCCCTGTGTCCACAGCTCTGGCCCTCGCGGCCACTGCTTTCCGGCGGCAGCTCAGGCCCTGTGAGCAAGGGCCACGGGCGGCCGCAGAAGCCCAGCGACACCGGCCAAGCCACGGGTTGGGAGGCCTGGTGGAACTGAGCTTCCCCCGCCAGCCTTCGCTAGTGGCCTGCATTGCAGGGTTGCTGTTGGGGGCAGCGCAACGGCAGCTTTGGGGCACGTGGAAGGAGCGGGCTGGGGGAGAGCGAGGGCGGGGGAAGATGCAGCTTCCAGGTGATGCTGGTGGGGCTGCTTCCCTAGGGGGCAGGGTCTCCACCCCTCCTCATTTCCGCGAGAGGCTGGCAGGTCAAGCGGTCTAGCAAGGCCCCTGCCCCGCAGCTGCTTGCCCTGGCAGAGGGCCCTCCGGGGGCGTCAGCCAGGCGAGGGGGGGCGCCCGGTGCAGGGCACAGCCGCGGGGGGGGGGAGCGCTGCAGGGCCCGGAGCCAGGTGGTAGTTTGAACAGGTTTATTCATTCTGGAGCACGGCGAGGGGGGGCCGTCCCTGCGAGGCCCCCTCATGGCCCTCGGAGGGGCCTCTGTCCAAAGTGCGGCGGGGAGCCCGGCGTGCCCCGGTGCTGCTCGATCACCTCCCGGAGCCCCTTGGAGAAGTGCAGGTCGGCCCCGACGGTGAGGTAGCCCTGCGGGAAGAGGGGCAGGCGGTCAGGGGCGGGGGCTCCTCTGCAGGCCCCCGGGGCAGCGGGGGGGGCGGCCCGGGCCGCAGAGCAGGCCACCTACCCGGTGGTGGGTGACCTCTTCCTTCACGAAGTCCATGCCTTCCGGGAGCGGGATCTGGACACCCTGCCTCGTTCTCCCTGCAGGAGGGGAGAGGGTGAAGCCGAGCCGGCCGGGCCCCAGCCCCCCGTGCCCTCGGTGGGGGGGGGGGGAGGGCCTGCCGCCAGCAGCCCGCGCGCTCGGGCTTGGCGCCTACCGTTGATGAGGGGCATGACAGCCAGCTGCAGCAGCGTCTTCAGTGGGGCCTGCAGCGGGAGCAGCTGGGGGGGAGAGTGCCCGTGAGGCAGCGGCTGAGGGCTCACCGGGCCTCGGCCTTCCCCGCCCGGCGGCGCCTCAGGCCTGCCCAACTCCTGCCGGAGGCTCCGGAGGTGGAGCGTGGGCCCCCCCGCCCGGGGCCACCACCGGCGAGGCACTCATCCGCTGCCACTTACTGCGAGCGACTCGAGGGCCGACTGGCTGGAGTAGATGCGGAACCTGGAGGAGGCACAGTGGCAGGGGGGCCATGAGCCGGGGGGCCTCTCCCGGGGCCCCCTGCCCTCCGCCCCCCCGTCAGTACCTGTTCAGGTCCAGCTGCACCCGGAGGGCTTTCCCGTGCAGCGTCACCTTCCCACTCATCTGGCTTTCCTGCGCGAGAGGGGGGGGGTCGCAAGGGTCTCGGGGGGCTCCAGGCTGTGCCCCTGCCCCCCGGGGGACCGCCGCAGCCCTCTGCTCCCCCGGGATGGGTCACCCGCCGGCCACTGCACTGCCCCGTTGCTGTGGCCCCAGAGGGGAGCGGTCCGGCCCCACCCCCCGCGCGGGGCCTCGGACTGAGAGGCCGCCCCTCACCATGGTAATGCTGGAGAGGGCCACGAGGGGCTGCTCCGCGGGGGCCAGGTAGATGCTGAGCAGCGCCGTGACGGAGATGGACATGCCCCAGGGCCTGATGGTGCAGCGTGGGGGGGCCGAGACGTGGAGCCTCAGCACCAGCGGCGTGTCCACCACCGACGGTTTCTGGGGGAGAAAGAAGCTGCACGGGGGGTGCTCCGGCGGGGCGGCCCCTCGGCCACGGGCGGAGAGGGCCCCGAGACATCGCGCGTTGGGCAGCCGGGAGGCCGGGGCCTCGGGGGCCTGCCCCCCCGGAGCGCCGGCCCCTGCCCCACCGCTGCCGCGTCACGGGGCACCCACAGCAGGGGAAGCAGAACTGCCTCGCGAGGCGAGCGGGAAGGGGCGGGCGGCCGCTTCCCTTTCGGGCCTCTGCTGTCGCTTCCTCAGTCTCTCAGTCAAGGGCGCTCTTCTCATGGACGGCCGTGGGGGTTGTGGCCCGAGGAGCCCCCCGCCTGCCAAAGCCTGCATCACCCGGAGAGGACACTGGCTGGTGGCTTTGCGAGCGGGCGGCTGATGCGGCTGCGCAGCGAGGGGGGGCAGCGGCTGCGTTGGCTTCCGTTGCCCTCGCAGAGCAGAGGGGTCTCTCCCAGGGCTCGTCCTGAACAGGCTGCCCCGCTGCGCCCGCCCCCCGCCAGCACCCGGCCCTCATGCAGGTGGCCGAGGCCCCGTCGGGCCACTACAGTTCCCTGCAGAGCCCGTCCCAGACAGACGGATGGAGTGCTCCCGGCCTGGCTGCCGCCCCCGCCAAGTCGCTGGCCACACGTGGCACGGCTTGTGGGCCGCACGACTGGGCCGCGGCACCGCATGGCGCAGGGCCGGGTGGAGGAGGGGTGCTACGCCCCAGAGCCCCCCGCCCCCCCTTACCGCTATGAGGAGGCTCCCAAAGAGGGTGGCTCTGAGCAGGACCGCCAGGTCTGTGGGCACCTGCAACAGGAGCGCAGTGGAGCGTCGGCCGGGCCCGTCCCCTCGGCCTGGCGCTCGCCGTCGGCCCCGCGTCCGCCCCGCGTCCCGCCTCGCAAGGCCCCGCGCGGCTCACCTGCTCGCCGGCGAACTGCACGCTCAGCAGCCCGGCCCTGTAGTAGGCCAGGAGGGCCGAGTCGAAGAAGAACTCCGAGAGGGCCACGTAGACCATGCGCTCCGCCTCCCGGATGACGGGCTCCACGGCCACGTTCGGCAGCGTCTCGTTCCAGCCCCCCAAGGGGAAGAACATGCCCTGCGGGACAGGAGGAGGGGGTGGGCCAGGGCCCGGGGGACGGGGCTGGGTTCCGCCCCGGGACGCCCCACGCCACCCCAGCTCGCCCCGGGCCGCGCGGGCTGCTCCCTTCGCGGGACGGGGCGCCCCCCGCCCTTCCTTGGTGGGCCGCACGGGCCGCATCCGCACAATTCTGACCGAGAGCGGAGGGCGGGGAGGGCCCAGGGGGCGACGCCGCTGTTGGCAGGCTGAGCCGGGGGCCCCTGGAGCGACACGCTGCATGCGGCAATCCCACGCCACCCCCCGGGTGCGCTTTCAGGCTGCAGATGGTTTGGGGATTCGATTCCCTTCCCATCCCTGACTCGGCCCCCCTGCGTCCCTCGGCATGCCCCCCCCCGAGGCCTCCCTTATGCCTTTCCTCGGCAGCTGCCCAGTCCCCCGCTAGTGCCAGTAGCTGATGCTTCCTCTTGAGCTTGAGCAGACCCCCCAGGCTGCTGCTGGGATTTGGGACCCCACCCCGCTAGGGGGAGCCAAATCTCCTGGCAGGCTGTTCTCGGGAACCACAGAGTGGCCGACATGGCGCTTCCCAGCAGAGCTGTAGTGCGTGGTGGGCCAAGAAATTAACCGTCGTGGCACCAATTTTTATAGAGGCCCAGGGGTATCCAGGAAATTACAGGCCAGTTGGCCGAACAGCTGTTCTGTTTGAAACTGCTTTCAAGGGTAAACTGCTTGAAAGCGTTATTTGGGATAGAACTGGTAATCATGCAGAGGGACAAGCCCTGCTGCGGAAAATCAGCACAGCTTCTGCACTTGGCGTCCTCTGGGAGGGTCAGCAAGTGCAGGGGGGGCAATCCAGCAGACGTCGTTCACTTGGATTTCCAAAGGGCTTTGACGAGGCTCCTCCGCTAACTGAGCAGCCATGGAACAAAAGGGGAGGTCTGCTTAAAGAACGGAAGGTAGAGGGCGAGAATAAATGGCAATTTTTCTCAGTGGAGAGATGTCACCAGCGGAGTCCGGGAGACTGCTAGAATCATGGACTCACAGAACACTAGGGTTGGAAGGGGCCCCCGGAAGGCCGTCGGGTCCAGCCCCCTGCTTAGAGTGGGACACCAAGCTGAACCGTTGCTCCCAGCGGCTGCCCAGTTGCACTGCTTTCCAATCCCTTCATAAAGGGTCTAGAATTAGGAATAAGCAGTGGAGCGGCCAAGTTTGCTGGGGGCACTAACCCAAAAGGGATTGTGACAAGCTCCAGGGGGGTCTCTGCAAGCCGGCAAACGGGCACCACGCTGGCAAATGTAGTTCAACAGAAGCAATGCATGCTGGGGCAAAGCCCAACCCAGAACTCCAAGGTCAAGCATACACTGATGGGACCTGGGCGAGCAGGGACTGATCAAGGAGGGGCCTTGGGACAGAGCCGGGCAGTGCGATGCAAAGGCCCTCCCTGCACACAGCCGCCGGGAGGAAGGCAAACTCCGTGCTAAGCAGAATTAGGAACAGAACAGAAAACAGCTGCCCAAATCTCACTTCCCTTATACACATTTTTGCTACAACCACACTGAGAATGTTGCGTCCAGTTCCCCTCACTGCCCAAGAAGCACGTGGCTGAGCCATACAGGGAAGGGAGCCAGAGAGACGGGGGCTGGAGCAGTTCCCCCACGAGGAGCAGCGACGGCAGCTGGGGCCATTCGGCTTTGGAAAGGGCGAGTCGGGGGGACACGGGCAAAGTGATCAAAATAACGCACAAGGCAATGAAAATGGAGAGCGAGACAGTTTTCCCCCTCGACACTTGGACCCAAGGGAGCCGGAGCGAGGGGCTGCCGGGTGGGAGGTTTGGGGCAGCGCGTTGTAAAACCGAGGAGTCTGCCGCCACGGAAGCGTTGCTGGCCGCCCATCGGGGCGGCTTGAAGAGCGGGCTGGGCAGCCTCGTGGCGTGGGGAGGCTGCCGGTGGCGGCTGGCAGGCTGGCCGTGGGCCACCTCCTTGACCAGAGCCGGCATGCCTGCGTCCGGCAGTTGCTGAGCTTGGGCAGGAGGCCTTGCACCCTCCTGCCGGGGGGCTCCGGTGGGCAGCTGGTCTGCGCCGGTGTGCCGAGCGCTGGGCTGGATGGACCTTTCCTGATCCAGCAGGGCTCTCGTGCTCTCGGAAACAGAGGACAGAGGCGCTCTGGAACGCGACACCGAAAGGCCCCGCGGCTCCCTGGGGTGGCCGGCCCTGGAGAGGCCCCTGCCAGCAGGACGGCCCGGCTGGCTCCTGACTGGAGGAGGCCTGCGTTCTGCTCCGCCCAGGCCGGCGCCTCCGCGGTCACCGCTCCTCCGGCCGGTCGCAGAGGTTCCTGAGCGAGCCCACTGCCTGGGGGTGCGGCCCAGCCGGGGCCCAGTGCGGTACCTTGAAGTCAAGGTCCATGGTGTCAGCCTGGACAGCCGGGTTGCTCAGCAGGGAGTAGTCGATCCCGATGTGCTTGTCCACCGGGTTCCGCACTGGAGCAGGAAGGGGCAGAGAGACGGTGGCTTGGGCCGGGCCGGGCCGGGCCGGGCCGGCCCCACCTGGGCACCCAGCCTCCTCTGGCCACCCACACAACCGGGCCGAGGGGGTCCCGACAGCACCACTGCCCCCAGCCCGGCAGCCAAGCCCCTGGCCCCGGCACACACCTGGCACCGTGTCCAGCAAGGAGTTGAGCAGCACCAGTCCTGCGTGGTTCATCACCGGGCAGATCTGGAAGCCAAGGGGGGCCATGGGAGGGGCGGCAGGGCCTGGGCCTGCCCCCAAGCAGGCGCTCCTGGGAAGCGGGGGGCGCAGAGGGGCCTTCCCGCCTCCTGCGGCGCCTGCCCCGTTGAGGCCCTGCCAAGGTCCGGAGGAGGGGCTGGGGCAGGAAGCCCTCTGTCAGCCTTCGAGGCCACGTGGCGGGGGCAGCACCCACAGGGCACAGGGAAGCCGTGGGAGGGCCCGGCGAGGGAAGCGGCACGCGTCCCTTCCGTGGGGTCGAGGCAGCGGGGGGCAGGAGAGTGCTGCCGCAGGGAGCCGTCCCGCGTGGCCGCCGTGCCGGCTGACCGCTTGGCCCGCTTGGGTGCCACGGCTGGGGACGTGCGGGGGCGGGGGCGACTCTCCATGGCCGGCCGGCCGGCCCCGCTGCGCCCCTACCTGCCGGTTGAGGAGGATGCGCACGCCTGTGGTGACGAAGGCGGCCAGGAACGCGTACACCTTCCTGGAGGAGGCAAAGGGGCATCCCTCAAGCCGCTGGCCTGCCATGGGAGGGGAGGGGGCTGCGAAATCCCCCCACACCCATCAGTCTTCCTCTTCAGGCACTCCTCCCACCAGGAGCCGGCCCCACAGCAGTCCTCCCTGGCCACCACCGCCCAGGCCACCCCACAAGCAGCCCCTTGAGCCACCCCGGTGCCCCTGGCAGCCTCCCCACGGGGCTTTCCGGGACGGAGGCTGAGCAACTCTCCCCGTCCCCAGCCACGCTTGCTCCCCGTGGCTGCCTCCCTCTCCCTCCGCACCAGGAAGAGTCCCTTGGAGAAGAAAAGGCCACGAGGATGCGGGGGGACAGGCGCCCCTCTCCAGGCCCCTCGCGGGCCACGGCCTCCCTCCGGGGGCTCCTCTGCCCTGCTCCCCCAGCCGCAAGCAGAGAAGCGCTCCGTGGAGTCCCTGGCGTTCCCCCAGCTCCGCCTGCTCAGCCCCACGTGCCTCCCTGGGCAGGGGGAGCAGCTGCCCTCACAGGCAGGCCTGGCTGGGCACCGGGCACCTCAGGCGGCCCCAGGGACGGCCACAGCCTGGGGCGGGCGGGGGGCGCGCCCCGCCAGGGTACCTGAGCGTGCCGCTGACGCCGGTGCTCATGCGCGCGATGGAGGCGCTGCAGTTCATGGCGGAGACCCTGAGGCGCCCGCCGCGGCCCTTGGAGAGCTCCAGCGCGGTGTGGATGTGCACGCCCTCGGCCGAGGTGGTGATGGAGCCCGCGTCGTAGCTGGGGGAGCACAGGCCTGAGTGGGGCCAGCGGGGCTCGCCGGGGCCGAGCGCTCCCCGTGGGCCGAGTCCTTTCGCTCCCCACCCCCAGCCCGGCAGGCGCCACCGTGCCGCCCTGGGCGCCTGTGGGCCGCTGGGAAATGCCGGGGAACCTGACCGAGCCCCGTGACTGGAGGGGGATCCCCGTGACAAGGAAGTGGCCCGGGCTGCGCTGGGGACACCCCATGGGGGTGCAAGACGCAGGATCGGGCCTGCAGCTCCCACAAAGCCGCCTGAGGCAGGAGGGGCCTTCCCCCATCGCTGCCTGGCAAGCTCGCTCTGAGGCTTGCTTCTGACCCGGGCCACCAGCCACAGCAGCGGGGGCACCGGTCAGCACGTGCCTGGGCCAGGAAAGCCCCGGGCGACGTTGGGCGGGTCTCTCGGCCTCGCGGCGCTGTGGGGAGGACCAGATGGCGAGGAGGAAGAGGGCCGTGGACGTGGGTGCGGGCTCCCCGGGGACGGGTGGGCTCCCGATCCACTGCTGGGTGGCAGGAGCGATGGCGAGGGGGGCTCCGGCTGGGGGGGCCGGGGCGGGGGCGGCAGAGACTCACAAGAACCAGTAGAGAAGCTGCCGCCGGAGGCGCAGGCTGATGGAGGCGTTTCTGATGTCGAAGGCCAGGTGCTGCCTCGGCTCGAAGCGCAGGTCGGAGAAAGGCAGCTGCAGGTGGGTCACCCTCAGGCTGCCGGAGATGCCCAAGGCAGAGGCTGGGTGCATGGGGGCCCCCTTGGCACTGCAGCCCCCCCGGCACTGCTGTGCTCGGGCTTCTCTGGCCCCGCTCGTCTCCCATGGCCCGCCCTCAGAGCCACACTCCCGCTGGCCAGGCGCACCTGGGCCGCCTCCTCACCGGAGCACGGACTGGGGCCGAGGCCAGCCCCGCAGCCTGGCCGGGAGCCGCGCTGGCCAGCACCGCGCCGCCCCGCCCGACTCACTTGCTGATGTTGTAGTGGAAGTGGCCCTCCTTGCCATGCAGGTCCTCCGTCGTGATGTTCGCCAGCTCCTGCTCCACGAAGCGCAGCCCCTCCCGCTTCACTGCAAGGGCCCGGCAGGCGGCCGCGTCAGTCCCCTGCCCCGCAGGACAGGCCGGCCGGGCTGGGGAGGGCGTGACTGGCCCCCACGCCTCGAGGCGCCCACACCCTGCGCGTCCCGGCGGCGGGCCAGGCCCGCCAGGCCGCCCTGGCCCATCGCCCCCAGCGTCTTACCCAGCTCCAGCCCCTTGGCGGTGATTCGTATCCGGCAGCCTGGAGGGGCGGGGGCCGTGGCCGTGGCCAGCCCGGGCAGCAGCAGGAGGAGGCAGTGCAGCAGCATGGTGGGCCGGTGCTCTGCGGCAGAAGGACAGAGGCCGTCGGTCCCGCGCCTCCCGCTCCTGCCCAGGCCGGTGCTGGGGCCGCACGACGGCGCGCAGAAGGCAGCCCGGCCCAGCCAGATCCGCGGCACGCAAGGGCCGAGGCCCAGGCCATGTCCCACAGCTCGGCTCGGGGCTGCGCAGGGCCGGGTGCCGCGAGGGGCTCTCCGGGGCGAGTGGTGGGCAGCCCTGGCGGGACAGTGCGGTGCACCTTGGGGCTGGCCCGGCTCCCCTGCCGCCCGCCGCTGGGAAGGACCGCTGGCCAGCAGCTGGGAGGCAAGAGCCAGAGCGCCTTGGCCGGCGCGCATCCCAGGAGCGGAGCGCCCCCGCCCGCCCGCCCGCCCGCCGCTCCCTGCGGGGCTCCTTCCCCGGCACGGAGCGCGGGAGTCCCCGCCTGGCACACGGCCGCCGACCAAGCGAGGTCCGCGCCGCCTCCCGGCTCCCCTGCGCGCCCGGCGGGGGCCTGCCCGCGAGAGCCGCCGAGGGCCCGGGGACGGGGAGCGGCGCCGCGGGGCCCGGGAGCAACCGGCGCGCCTCGGCCCCTTCGGCCTGCGCGGCGACCCATTCGCAGAGCGCTTTGGCTCACGTGCACGAAGGAGCCGCTCCGGGGCGTGCGGGGCGCCCCCGGCTCCCGAGCCCTCCCCGGCGGCCGCCACTGGCTCCGCGCAGGAGCCCCGCGCTGCCCCCTCCCACGCCTTCCGCACGGCACGCGGCTTCGGGGGCTTCCCATCCGAAGCAGCGGCGCGGCGGGGGGCGGCAGGCCTTCCCCGCGCCCCGCCCGCCCGCGCGGTTCCCGGCTCGTGCGAGCCCCTTCCGCGCCCCCATGCCCGGCTGCGGGGGGCGGGCTCGCGCTGCCGGACCGAGCCGAGCCGCTCCCGGGGCTCCTGCTCTCGCGGTGGACGCGGCCCGATGCCCCGGCGGCCCCCGCAGACCCCTCCCTTCCCCGCTCCGCGAGTGCCTCGCCGACGCGGCGCGTCCCGCAGCAGCCGAGACAAAGCGCCCCGCGCGCACTTACCGGCGCCCCCGCGGTGGCTGCTCCGAGCTCTGCTGCCCGGCGCCGCCGCCTTTATAGTCCTCCCGGGCGGCCCTCGCCCGCCCCGGCAGAGGAGGGGACGCGGGGCGCGGCCTGCGCGGAGCCCGTGGGGGCCGCAGCAGCCCTGGCGCGTCCGAAGCCTCCTGGCCAGCCTGCCCGGCCGCGGCCTTCCTGGGGGGAGCGCCGCTTCCCCCCGCCCGGGGAACGTCTCCCACCGAGACCGGGCGCCCCGGGACCGGACCTGCCCGGGCCTCTTCTCTGCCCCCCACCCTGCCCAGGCGGGCGGACTGAGCCCGGCGTTTCCCCCTTTGCCCGCACAACAGCCCTGTGAGGCTGGCCGGGCCGGGTCAGCCGAGCACTGCAACTGAACCCAGAACTCTGCAGCCCCAGCCAGCACCCTGCACCAACCGCCCGCAGCCAGCCGCCCCCCCCCCCAGCGGGTTGGCCTGCCACTCCCATCATTCCCGGCCAGTTTGGCCATGGGTGAAAAATGCGGCTGAATCCCTCCTCCCACTCTGGCTGAATCAGCGTGGCTTGTGAAGCATCGGCGCCCCCCCCCCACGCTAGTGGACAGCAGGGGGGGATGTGGCAGCTCCCCCCATTCCCACCCCTCTGTTGCACCCACCCTGCCGGCAAGGGCCAGCTGTGGACGACAGACGCCCCCTGGGTCAGCACAGGCCTCAGCCAGTCTGGGCACCGTGTGGAAGGGTGGCCCCCGCCCCGTGGGGGGGCACTGTGTCCTTGCCGCCAGCAGGGCTGTGACGGATGGGGGAAGCCGCCCCGCCCCACCCAGCCAGCGGAACACTGGACCGGCCACGGCGGGCTGCTCTCCTGCCGCTGCTCGGACAGGCGGGGCCCGGGGTGGCGAGCCACAGGCCCCCAGGTGGCGTGTGGGCACGGCCGCGCCTGGCGCCAACGAGGCAGCCCAAAAGCGTGGGGGGGGGCTGCTAGCAAAGGCCGCGCGAGCCCCCGATGCGGCCGAGCCCCGGCGCTCCCTGACGCCCCCGCTCTGCCCCCGCTCGGCTCGGTGCCACCCAGAGAAGCCCTTGCTGTGCTCTGCCCGGGACGCCCCGCCACTCCGCCTCCTGGGGTGCCTCCTGCACGAGCGCAGCAGCGCCAGCTCAGCCGCCAGGCCCGCCCAGCCCAGCCGGCCCTCCGCACGCACGGGGCGAGCCGAGCCGGCTGCCCACGGGATCCCCCAGCAGGAGGGCGCAAGGCCTCCGCCGCCCAAGCGCCTCAGCCACTGGGTGCGCAGGGAGGAAGCGCCCCGCCAGCAGGGCCAGTGACCACGGATCGCCCCCTCCCGCTTGAGCGGTCCAATCCCCTTTTAAAGCCGGCCAGCTTGCCGGCCAGCAGCACTTCCTGTTGCAGCAGCTTCCCTAATTTAACTATACTTTGTGTGAAGAAGCGCTTCCTTTGATCTGTCCTAAACCTCCAATCCACCGGCTTTATGTGGTTGCCCCAGGGTTCACTAATCTTCACTAATTAATCTTCATTAATTTTGCCCAGAAATGGCACTGACAGTACTCCTAGTAATGACTTAGAAATATTTTTAAAATACGGCAAATGACACTCAAGTTTAATACAGACGCACATAGAATCATAGAACAGTAGGGTTGGAAGGGGCCAAGAAGGTCATCAAGTCCAACCCCCTGCTCTTGCGGGACACCATGTTACACCACCCCACTCAGAGGGCTGTATTTGCACCCGTCCCTTTCTGAACCTGCTTCAGAAAGGGAACCTGCTCCCCTTTCAATTCTGAAATAAGCAGCTAGTCCCAAAGAAACCCTTCTGCCCGCCAGTACGTAATGCGCCTTCCTCGTGTTTGCTTTGGATCAAAGTGCCAAGGAAACCACGCAGGATATACTTGAACAAGAGGAGCAATCCACGAATGACATTTCTCTTCTCATCCTGGCGTGTTGCATTAGTCCTCCTTCGAGTTTCTTGCGCTTCAGCCTCATCACAAAAGAGACACCAGGCCACACAAGTCACGCGTTCCCTCGGGCTGCCGAAGGCAATGCTCTCTCCCCGTTTTGCCTTGCGCAGCTTCACGTGGCCCCGCTTGTCTTTCGTCGGAGCTCAGAGGCCCCGAGCGCCTCAGCGGGAAGCCGCTGCTGCCCGGATGCTCCTCGCCGCCCCTTCTGCGAGACAGACAAACCCCTCCCGAGGGCCAAGCGGCCAGGCAGCATCTTTCTCCTCCCATGGCCCCGGCCCCAAGCGCCCACCCGTGCAGCTGCGTGGCGGGATGCGCAGGACGGGCCCGGGGGGCACCTCCCGCGGTGGAGCGACTGTGTCCCGGCAAGATGCCGTGGCTGAGCCGGGCCTGCCGCGGGGCGTGTGTGGCACCCAGAACGCTCAGGTCTCCGAGAGCTTCACCTGGAGGAGGAGAAGGCAGCCCCACGGGAGGGCTGGGCCCCACGGCGTGCCCGCAGCCCCGCAGCGTCTCTCTGGTCTCCTCCCATCCCAGAATAGGCACGATGGTTTTGCTTAATGGAGGCCTTGCTTCGTTGACGGGAAAGATGTCATTAAGACGGCCTCTCCTTTTAATTTAGAGCCATCCCCAGCTGGGCTGCAAGAGCTGTAAAGCCGTGCCATAAAAGCCACGACCTGGATGCGCAGACGGGGCTGGACTCCAGGTGCGGGACCGCAGGCGGCCTGGGGCTCCTGACGGGCAGCAGGCCTGCCTCACGCACCCAGAGCCCCCAGGGAGAGCCGTCCTGCAGCACGGCAGGATGAGGCCTCGGCTCCTGGCCCCTGCAGGGCCTCCTGGGCCGGCCAAGCCACCTGGTGGCCAGAAGCCAGGCCCAAAGCACGGGCCCGGCCCTGAGCCTCCGACGGTGCTCAGACCCCCTGCCACCTGCCCTGCCCCTCACCGGCACCCGCAGCCACCCACCACAGGCCAGCGGGGCACGCGCAGGTGGGGACGTCGGGGGTCCGCGAGCAGGGCCGCTGCAGCCTGCCCGCCACAGCCTCCCCTGCTGCCCCCAGCTCAGCGGCCACGGGCTGGGGCGCTGGTTGCCCCGCGAAGGGTTCTCGGGAGGCTTGGCCTGCAGTGGGCAAACGCGCTCCGGCCCTGTGAAGGGTCTGGTCTGCTGGGGGTGCCGGGGCGGCACCGGAGCCACCTGGCCGCTGCACATGGCCCGCCGCACACCTGCCCTGAATGCCGGGGGCCTGGAGCGCTGCGCTGTGCACTGGCGGCACCGGCCTTCCCTGCGCCCGGGCAGCTGCCCGGAGGGGCAGGCACATGGCAGAGCACTCCGCAAACACGAGCTGCAGGGCGGAGAGAGGAGCGCGGGGGCGCGGCCCTCCTTGGCTGGCAGGCCGCCCCGATTGTTCTCCGTGCGCCCCGGCCTGCTGCCGCGCACCCCCTTTTCCGGCTTGCAGGCGGCCTCCCGAGACTTGCGGCAGCAGCTCCACGGGGAGGCAGGCGGGCCGTGGCAGCGCTCCAGCTGGGGCAGGCTGGGCTTTGATGCACACAGGAGCCGGCAGCTGAGAGGAAAGCCCCGACCTCGGCTGCTTCCTTCCCGCCGCCTCCCAAGCGTCCGATGCGATTTTCAGCACGTCGCTCTGCTCAGGGAGCCGCGACACCCAACCGCTGTGCCTCTGAGCCGCCCCTGGCCAGTTCCGAGGGAGGCCCTGGGCAGGTGCCGCTGGGCCGCACAGGCGCCTCCTGAGGATCAAAGGACTTGCCCGGGCCGTCCTGGCACCTGACGGCCCAGAGCTCTTCCAACAGGCCAAGCAAGGCCCCTGCACCCTTGATTTTTTAAAGTTCTGTCTCAGACCCCAGCACCTCTTCCAAGCCTGGGCTGCAGCGACGCCAGTGAAGGCTGCTGCGATGAAGGAAGGCGTTGCTCAGGAGATCGCAGTGCCTCTGGAGTGCCCCTGGGCGTCTCTCGCGCACCCCGAGCGTGTGATGTGGAGGAACTCCGCCGGGACAGCCGAGGGACTGGGCGGCACAGCAGCTGCCCACCTCAGTGCCCTCCAGCTGCGCGGGCAGTCGCTACGGTGAACCGCCTGCATGGGCGAGAGATGCCCCCTGCACCCCCCCCGCAGAGAGCGCCGCAGCCCCCTCGCACCCCCAGCAGCTGCTCGCCGGCTCTCCCCAGGTTCACGACCCCCTTTGCCTCGCCACCCTGCCACACGCCTCCTGCCTCCAGCCCGTCTGAGGCGAAGGGGGCCGGCCCGGGACACAGGGACTTTGCATCCCGGGGACCCACTGCAGGTGCAGCGCGGAGTAGCCGGCCCCTCGGCCACATCCCGGCCCAGCCTCGCTTGCGGAGCAGGGCGTGTGCACACACGTGTGCCGGGAGGCCGCCCGCTTATCTCACTTGTACACACAGGGAGCTGTGCATGAAGAGGCAGCAGGCGGGCTGGGAAGCCAGATCCAATCTTCAGCCGCTGGCTCACCCCACCCGGGGGCCGCGGGGGCCTGCCATGCACACAGCACCCTCTGGGCCACCCCCGGGTGCTCCCTGTCCCCACCGGGCTCTGCAGCGGGCGCAGGGGCGCGAGCGACGGCGCTGCGTGGCTCTCCGGCAACTCCTCCATGGCCGGGCCGGGCCGGGCCTGCCCTCGGGCCCTTCAGGCACCCGAGCAGCTGCACACACACCCTCACTGGGACGAGTCCCGGGCCAGAGTGGTGCAAGGAAAACCTCGGGGAGGGAAGGGCCAGCTCAGGGCGGCAGAGGCCTGCCTCGCGGGTGGAAGCCCCGGGGGGCTCCGCGCGGGCCACTTCTCAGACTTGGGCCACTCCTGAGCCACTTTTGCTGCTCAGGGAATTCGGGAAGAGGAGAGATCAGGCGTTTTGGAAGTGTTCCGCTCCCCTCGCTCCTTTCACACCCTTTCAATAAGTCACTAATTTTGCATCTGGTGTGGTCACGGGTCCTCGGAAATACCCGACAGCAGTCAGGATGCCGGAATCAAGTAGGACAAGGAAGAACGAAGCCATGTTTTGTTGGAAAGGCACAGCTGGAAGCGGGGGAAGAGGGGGCATCGGAGGCTACTGGGGCAGGGGGCGGGCTCTGGGGCATCTCCATGCAACTAATGCGTGGACTGTCCCGATGTGCCCCTTGTAAGGGCATGCCTGGGTCCCGAAACTCTGCTGCAAATTCCTCAGGAACCGACCGGCAACCATGGCCCAAGAGCTGCCCTGCAGGCACTGCGTAGCGAGGCGCAGCCGCATTTTAGCTGGGGGGGCCTATGAAGGCACCTGGGGGCTCCCTCCCGGGTGCTCAGCAAGCTTTTAACTGAAAGGCAACGCACTGTTCCGCGCCAATGACACAAGGCAGGACCCTGCCGGCCAGATTTCATGCAGAGCGGATGCTGAGCCACAGAGCAACGGGAAGTTCCATTCTCCAGAAAGCCTGCTCTTCGTGATCCCCTAAGCTCACACAGAAATAATTCCAGAAGCATCGCCTGGCACGAGCTCTTCCCAGGCAGCACAGCCGTCTTGCTCCTCCCGTACGCAGGAGCCGGGGCTGCCCTGGGCGGACGGGGCCGAGCGAGTGCCCGCAGAGCACTGCAGGTGGGCCAGCGGGGGGTCCTTCCCGGGGTCCCGGGTGCCGCTGCTGGCCGGGCCGGGCAGGGCCGACTGTGCTCTGGCTCAGCGCAGCCACGCCCTGGACGTCTGCACCGCGCCGGCTGTTCGGTGGGGCGATTTATCCACGGGCGTCTTCAGGAGCCAACGGCCCCTGCACCCGCCACTCGCTCAGAGTGCCCTCCCCTTGGCGGCTGCACCTGCAGCCGCCCCCGCCCCAGGCAGAATCACCTCCTCCCGGCCCCACCGGCACCGGGATCCCACGGACGCGGCCTCCGGGTGGTTTCAGCAGCGCGGACGCCACGCCGATACTGAGCAGGCAGTTCCGGGCTGCCGTATGACTTTGGTGTCAGTCTGGTTATACTGCGGGGGTTTTGGCCGCTCCAGTCGTTTACGTTCTGCCTTGCAATCTGTCTGCGTGTCAAGTTACGCCGGCTTGGTGTATGTGCGGTATGTGCTTCTTAGCACGTTTTGCCAGCTACCTGGAAAGCTTCACTTCTTGGCCCATACACAGATCCAAGCTGCCGCTAATCAAGAGGCTGATGGAAGCTGGACTCGCTGCAACGGCAGCGCCACGAGGGCCCGTCAGGACAGCAGCGGTGGCCGGGGCGCCCTGCGGAGGAGGCAGAGTGGCCACAGGCCCTCCAGGCTGCAGGTGCAGGTGTGGGGGCGACCGGCCAACAGGCGGAACGGCAGGTGCGGCTCCGACGGCAGAGCTGCAGAGCACGGCCCCGACTCCCCACGCGGGCCGCCTCCTTCCCACTTGGCATGCTGGCCTCCTCCCTGCCCGACTCGCACAGGACCCCGCCCCGGAAAGCTCTGGCAACGGCCCACCCCTTGCTGGCAGCCACTGTTCTGCAGACTGGCCCAGGGGCCAAGGCAGGCCGTGGGAAGCACAGCGGGGCAGGGAGAGGGCAGGGGCAGGGGCAGGCCCGGCTCTGCCCTCCAAAGCAGCCGGCTGGGGCGAAGCGGCTCGTTTGCCCGCGGGGGCCGAGAGAGCCAGCGGGTCCTCCTGGGCCGGCCACAGCCTTGCCCCAGCCACAAGCGGGGAGGAGGGACACGAGCAGCTTCTCTTTCCTGAGCTGCTTCCCACCCTGCTGGGAAAAAAAAGGCAGAGGCCGCGTGTTCTATCCATTTATTTATTGAATTTATACACCATTTAGCATGCTTTCGCATAATGCTCTCAAAATGGTTGATATAGTGCAGCGGTGGCAAACCTATGGCATGCCTGGCACAGTCGGCACGCGAGCCAAGTCACCCAGCATCGCCCCAGCAGCCGAGCATCGGATAACAGTGCGCACAGGGGCCATGCGCATGCTCGGAAAGGAGTAGCGGCGCCAGGCGATGACATCACGAGCCGCGACTCATTAGATGTGACTCGTCCAAGCTTTCACATGGCCAGTCAGTGCGATGCCAAGGATATATATAGTGGCTGTGAGTTGTTTTTTCTAAACTAAAACTTCGGTTTTCAGGTTTTATTACATTGTTGGCACTTTGCAATAAATAAGTGGGTTTTGGGTTGCAGTTCGGGCACTCCGTCTCTAAAAGGTTCACTGTCACTGGGTTAGGGTTAGGGTTAGAAAAATGAGGTGTCCTGCTATGATTTTGATGCCTGGAATGAGTTTAGAAGGGCCAGAAATGGTGAACTGTGCAGAAAAACCTACTCAAGGAAGGCATGATCATGAACACGAACATGATCCAGCCGTGTGACACAGCGGTTAAGAAGGTGATCTCTTGGAAGTCTAGCTAGAAGCGGGGCTTCCAGGTCCAGGCAGGTGTTGATGCCTCCCTGCACGACTCTGGTGCGCCCTCAACTGGAGTGCTGTGTCCACTTCTGGGCTCCGCATGATACGGGAGCCATGGCCGGGTTAGAACTGGGCCAGTGCAGGACCACAGGAAGGGTGGCCTGGTTGGGAGAAGCGACTGAGGGAACTGGTCTTTTCGTCGTGCAGAAGAGACTCTGAGGGGATCTTCTTGTGGCTTTTAGGTATGTGTGGGGATGTCATGTGGTAGAAGGCCTTGAGCCGTTCTCTCCTGTGGCGGAGGGCAGGATGCGTTCCTATGGGGCACAGCTAAAGGAACCGGGTCTTAGGTGGGATGTCAGCCTTTCTTCCTGACAGTCAGGACCCCGAGGGTGTGGAATGGGCTTCCAAGGGAGGGGCTGGAGAGCCCATCGCTGAGGGTGTTCAGGGAAAAACTGGGCAACCGCACGGTGGGGTGACATGAGTGGAGACGGGGGTCAGGCCAGCGGGCCAGGAGGCCGCTTCCGACACGCTGTCCCTATTGCCCGCGCAGCCTTCTTCCTCGCCCTGTCGCAGCTGCCTCAGGGGGGAGAAGAGCCTAGTTTTGCCCCACTGCAGCCCCTGCCTAGGGCGAGAGGGTGCATGGGGTGCCTTCCGCGAGGGCCCCTTCCCTGCAGCCCAGGCTCTTGTTCCCGGGCGGTGCTCTCGGTGCGGCGATGTGGTGGGGCAAGGGCGCAGGGGGGGCGCACCAAGCCACAGAGGCCGCCAACCCCTGCCCTACGGGGAGACAGCAGGGGCACCTCCGCCGGCTCCCAGCCGTTCCAAGCAGCCTTGGAGCCCCCCCCCCGCTCCGCCAGCTGCCTCGACAAGGCGCTAGAGACACTTTTACACCGGGAAGGCGCTTCCCATGTCGCCCGTTCCACAGCTAGTGTGGCCTCAGAGCCTTCTTGGAACAGCCCCTCCAGTGAAGGGCCCCGGCGGGACACAAGGCGAGATCAGGGGTCTGCCCCACACCCAGCATGACTGCAAATACCTCCAGTGCCCACTAAGAGGCGCTATTACACCTCCCCAGCCCCTGGGCACCCGAGCACCGCGGGGGGGGGTGCGGCCGGCGGGGTTCAGAGCGCAGTACGTGCAGCCTGAGGCTGGGCCAGGGAAGGGGAGCCACCGGGTCCGCACCGGGCCCTATTTCCCGCAGGGGCCAGCCGCGCACCCCAAAGAGGAAGCCCAGGAGAATGGGTGGGGGAGTCTTTCATGTCTGTGGCTGTCCAGCAGACGGCATTCCGGAGGACCACGGCGGCCCTGGCCGCCCTTTCCATTTGTACACCGGGACTGCTAAGCGCGGACCGCTCCCCGCGCATAGGCCGCTCCTTTGCACGCCGCGGCCGCCCTCCGGCCATCCCGTGCAGCGGGCCCCGAGCGCCTCCTCCGGCCTTTCGACTGGAAGGCCGCCGGTGCGCCAGGAACCGGCCCGGCCGCGGGGCTGCCGGAGTGCCGCGCGCCCGCCGCCGCCGCCGGCTGCACGCGGGCAAGAAGCCCGGGGGGGGGGCGGGCCACGCGACACTCCGCGGCCCCGCAATGGCTGCTCTTCGGGAAGATGCTGCAACACTAAACTTCTTCGTGGAACGTGCGCT